TGGAGGTCCTGCAGCTGCTTCTCCAGGGGAGCGCTCAATGTTCATCCAATGAGCTGCTACTCTGCGTGAAAGAACAAATAATAGGAACCACTAGGAAATCTGTTAGAGTGCTATAAATGCAAATACTGTAAAAACAGGTGCGTATGTAAAGCATGAGCATAGTAGTGATTCTAGATGGAAGTACAGTATGTGCTGGAGTGGCGCTAGAATGAACATGAAACTGTCTTTCAGGTTCAAAGAAGAAGAAAGCAGCCAAGCCTTTAAGTTTCAAAGTTGGCGTAGGAAAAGTTATCAGAGGTGTAAGTAAGGCCTGGACGCCTCCCTCAGGACACAGGGGGTTTGTCAGTCTGCAGTTTATCACTGGGATGCAAAGTTTGAGCTGCTCCTCTTGTTTGTTCTGGGGGTGAGAAGGCAGCTTGAAGCTTTTGCATCAGCAAGATGTGATATTTTCATGGTTGTGTTCATTGTCTTCCGTGTCCTTTCTGTACAGTCAAGACTAACTTGGGAAGAGGGAACGTGAGGCAGGGGTGAATATTTCCACGTGTAAACAGTGTATGATCACCCCTCGCAGTGTGTGCTCTTGGGTGGGCGTGCCCGCCGAGGAGAACTGCACCCTCGCACAGGCAGTTACAGGGACGGGGGGAAAGCCTGTGAATTCACGTCTGTCACCGCACTGGGATTCTTGCTTTGTTTTCTAGTGGGATGAAGCTCTCCTGACAATGAGTAAAGGAGAGAAGGCTCAGCTGGAAATTGAACCGGAATGGGCTTATGGCAAGAAAGGGCAGCCCGACGCTAAGTATCCTTTCTCCGTGGAGTACTCCCTGGTGCGTTGGGTGCCCTGGGAACGCTGTTCGTGCGGTGCAGGGCGGGGGGACGCGGGGACGCGCTCCCTTTCAGCGCCGAGGACAGCAGTGGACTGCAGTGACCTTGCCCTTGCAGTGACTGCAGTGACCTTGCCCGAGGGACGGCCGCAGCGGCCGCGCGGCGCTCCGGGTCACCGCGGTGCTGGAGAACAGGATCGCTCTGCACCGAGGGATGCACGCTCGCTGCTGCTCGATCCCGCTGCACAAATGGAAGCAGTTAGCAGGGAGCGGGGAGAAACCGCTCCTGCTGCCGCTGGACGGAGGAGCGGGAACGGGCTGGGAGCACAGCTGGAACGGGATGGGATCGCGCGATCCCTGCAGCACTCCGTGCTGTCCTCTGTATCCATGCCCACCCTTCCCGCTGGTTCCAGGAGGACAGAAAGTGAATTTCTCTCCTGCTCTTATATTCCATGCTGATAGTTGTCTAAAAAGGAAAATCTACGCCACTTAGTATTTATGTGCAAATAGGACATTCTGATTTCCCAGACAAAGCCCAGTGCCAGTGTCCAAAAGGACACTGCTCTTAAGGAGCAAAAGGAGCCAGCTGTTAAGTAGTTAATTCAAACTCGGCTGTTCCTCCTAAGAAGGCTAGACCAGGGAGAAGGGTGCCTGGAGATAAAAGGCTTTTCCTCAGCCCGGGTACTCAATGTCTCTTACGCCCGCGCGTGTCGGACAGCAGCTGTTGGTACAGGCTAAATAGGGGATGTCACAGGGGGGCAGCGAAATGGAAAACTGACACTTGAGAAGCAGCAGGTGCTCAGGCATTTAACTTTGATTTATAAAGTGACCTAATCATGTTCTTTATAAGCTTCCTTAACTTGGGCAAACAGGATACCACCAAATGCCAAACTGTTCTTTGAAGTGGAATTGGTGGATATTGAGTGAAATGAAGCATTTTCTCTGCTGCTGGGAATCCATTTTGAGCAAGAAAGCTTCCAACAACTGCAGTTCTGCTCTTGTAACTCCAGGATATAGTTACAACTGTGGCCTTTATTGAAATCAAGTTTTTTTTCCCCTCAACTGCTGTACAGTAAGATCCCACTAAAGAAACATAGTTTATATGTGCAAAGGCTTTGACTTCTTTTTGTGGGGAAGCTCATGGGGTGGGGGGAAGAAGTTGCCTAAGTTTCCAGGAACCTCTTCAAGGGGAAAGAGACCCATTTGAACTTCCAGGAGTGGTTTTAGTAGCCCTGCTAGGCCTGAGTGTGTGCAGTAAAAAGAAAACAAACCCAAAAAGCAAAACAAAACCCAAACTCTTTACTTCAATACTTAGCTCAAGGCTTTGGTCATTCATTTTTCGTTTAGCTTGTGCAGCTACTGCATTTTACCACAATGGTACCCCAACAACATTAGCTGGATATGGAGTATTAGAAGGGGGCAAGAGGCAGAAGTGAAGGAGGAAAAAAATGGCCATTTACACGTTAAGTATCGTGCAACCCAAAGACCAGCCCCCCTCACCTGCCCTTCTCCCTGGAAGGCCGGTGGCAGCAGGGACAGGCACCGTGTCCCGCAGGAGCAGGGCTGAACAGCAGAGAGTTCAAACAGCACCTGATCAACTGAGGCTCCACTCTGATCCTTAGCTTGAATGAGAAAATCCAAGAAGGCTCAAAGAACTACCGAATTCCTTGCTTTTATTACGAAAATGAGAATGATCACTCTGATCAAAATGAAAAAGTCTGCTCACACTGTGTACATGAAAAACTCTAGTTACAAAATCCATCCCAAACACAGTTTGTGCTTTTTTAAAAAAGAATGCAACATCATTTTGTACTGCATTTTAATCTCTGACCCCCACATAAAATAGAAAATACATATCACAGCTCACAAAGGCTGCCTTCTTCATCTGAACAATTCAAATCATGACAATATAAACAGTGGTCTGGGCTTTGCTCACTGGGGCATGGGAAAAGAAAAACAAATCTCATGATAGAAGCGGGTTATGAGTTTTTGGTGCAGAGCAGAGCAGGCGGCAGGACGGCCTCGCTCAGGAGCCTGCAGCTGCGGTGAGGCCGCGCTCAGAAACGCTGGGAAAAGGCTACAGAGTTACTGATTTTTTTTTTTATGTCTACAGAATCATCATGAAACAGCAAAAAAAAAAAAAAACCAACAACAAAAAAAACCTTCAAATAATATCTCCATAAGTTAGTGCAGGGAAATAAAGAAATGCATTTATGGTAAACCAGCAGTGTACAGAGATACCATTTATCAGTTACCAACACATGAATCCTGCTTCACACATACCCTGTGAACATCAGCTCATTTCACATGCAAAAGACCAAATTGGTATTACAACAGTTCTTTCACATCCCTAATTTAGAAAAATATATTTTTTACTCCATCTTTGTTGAAACGGCACAGTGAACTCCACTCATTCCTCTGATCAAGGAGGAGGATAATACTGTCCGTAATTCCATGCGTTCTGGTAGTTGTACTAGAAAAAAAAGAGATGCAAGAGAAGGTAAGTGAGAAGCCCTGCGAGGAAGGAGAGGTGATAACTGTCATAGAATCACAGAACGCTCAAGGTTGGCAGGGACCTCTCGAGGTCACCTAGTCCAACCCCTGCACACGCAGGGTCACCTAGAGCACGTGGCACAGGGCTGCGTCCAAGCGGGTTTGAAGATCTCCAGAGAAGGAGACTCCACAACCTCTCTGGGCAGCCTGTTCCAGGGCTCTGTCACCCTCACTGGGCAGAGATTTTTCCATAAGTTCCTGTGGAACTTTTGGTGCTTCAGTTTCCAGCTGTTTCCTCTAGTTCTGTCGGTGGCCACCACTGAAAAGATTGCCCCATCCTCCTCACTGCCTCCCTTGAGGTACTTCTAGACACTGCTCAGGTCCCCTCTCAGCCTTCTCTTCTCCAGCTGAACAGGCCCAGCTCACTCAGCCTCTCCTCATAGGGCAGATGTTCCAGGCCCCTGATCATCCTCGTAGCCCTGTGCTGGACTCTCTCCAGCAGCTCCACATCCCTCTTGTCCTGTCATGCCAAAGCGGCGCCCATCACTCTGCCTGGTTCAGATTTTAACTGATCTAAGCACTGCAGCCCACCTGGCTCTGGGCCAGTGTCACCATCTCCGCTGGACACCCACAACAGCCCATCTGGGTACCTTTTCCTGCATCCTCTACCTTAATGTGAGCCCCAGGGCAGAACACCAGAGTCTTCCTCCGTAATTCAAAACCTGGAGAGTACCAGGAGCCCTGAAACACCAAGATCCTCTGAAAATTACTTTTATTACTGAAGTCAGATTGTCGCCCAATTTGGCCACAAGTCAACGGTGAGGTTTTCCAGATGACGGGTGTTCTTGCCCATACTGTTTTCAGTCGCTTCACAAAACACGCGTGTGGAGTCTCCAAACACGGGGTTTGCCAGGATTCAATGTAGGTCCTCACATTCCTCCCTTGGTAGCTCACCTGCAGCTCGCACAGGAGCAGTGATGGGAAGGCCTTGAGCTCTGAGCACGGTGCCCGTGGGAGACTCGCGGCACGAGCTCCCCGCGCAGCCGCCTCGGGGACGTCCCGCAGCGCCGCGACGCTGCCCCCTCCGAGCCCGCTGCTCTGAGCCAGCGCGGGGCACGAGGGGGCAGTGACGGCCACCCAGGCTGGGCAGGGGGCACTGCCACCCCCTGCAGCCTCCCCGTCTCTCTAGTGGCACCATGGTCTCGGGAGGCACATGAGCAAGTGTCCCCATCCCTCAGGGCTTCCATGGGGCCTGCCCTTCTGAAGCACACTGCGATGGAAGGCACCGCACGCAGCAGCCGGCAGTTCAACCACAGCACCGAGGTCTTTATAAGCAGCGCAATTTTGTGGCTCCCATGCCGCTGGGTTTGGAAGGTTCCTGGCATTTTTCCTGGCCTACTACTGAGTGCAGCTCCCCACGCTGGGCGAGACACCTCTCTGCCCCGCTGCAGAATGACCTCCTCTGTGGTCCAGACACCTCAAACAGGGCCACAGCGCTGACGAGTGACACCGTGTGGCGTTTGCCTGGTGAGATCAGGCCCCCCACTCCTTCCAGGCTGAACTGCAGCCTCTCGGGTAGCACTGCAGCCCTCAGCCAGCACGGAGGGAGCTCAAGGACATGGCACAAGACTCATCTAGCCGGGGGGCACCAGCAGTGCCACCCTGAACAGCACTAACTGCCTGCAGAAAGGACAGACGGTGAAGCTCAGACCACCAAAGGAGACTGTTCTAGAAGCAAGCAGAGCCTGTTAACTCAAGGGAGGAGGAAACCTCCTGTATCACTAAAGGAAACTCCTGTATTACTGATTCAGCCTTTATGCCCCTACAGAGGACAAAATGAAACTGCCCCCAAGAGCCCAAATGGAGAAGCTATTTCACAGGCTGACCTTGCATGCACCATGTACGATGCTGATGTGACAGGAAAAAAAGAAATCCAAAGAAACAACTAAGAACCCTTAGTAAATTGGTTTCCCAAGGTGACTTTCCTGGGTAAAAAGCCAGCACATAACAGGTCTACTGCCCTTAGCCAGCAATGCCCTTAACTGCTGCTATGCTTCCTTTTACATCAGGGGAAGGGCCAGCCACAACAATCTCTCAATCATTCTCCACACTATAGAGAGATTTTATAAATTTACATAAGAGGACAAGGAAAAAGCAACAAAAAGAGGAGCTGAGATTCCCTGCAAGCCTTGCTTGCCAGCTAACACCTGGCCAAAGACAGAGGACAGACACTGAGAAAACAGCGTGTGGACATTGAGCACGCCGGTTCTGGAGGACGCGAGGAGCGACACCGACCTGGTACCAGGCGTTGTAGTTGTAGGCGGCCTGGTTGACCTGCATGTCGCCATCCATCATCTGCGCTGCCAACGCCGGGTCATCCGGGTGCATCTTTTTTTCATCTGGCTCCTCCGCTCTGCAAAATTAATACAATGCTTGTAATACAATGCTTGTAATACAATGCTTGTCTTTGTTACACTTACTGCTGAGTAAGCGTACACTTACATTAACAAAGATCGGCAGTATTTTCAAAATTGGTGACCTTTCCAAACAGGAAAATAGATTTAGAGAAAGACAAGATTTGGTGCTTCAAAACAATGGTTTCATTTATAAATTGTTATGGTGCTTTAATCTAGATTATCAACACAAGTCTGTTTCAGAGATGGTTATTTTTAGCAATATTATTTAGTGTTTCTATGATACAAAATTTAGAAGTCTGGTTCCAGTTATTTAAGCCAGTTCTACACTCCTACCTGGAGTGCACTTTTAAATTATTAAAAAACAAAATAAACAAACATGCTGCTGTTCTTGCAGTGCTAACTAGAAACGCGAAGGGTCAAGGACCGTCCAAAGCCGTGTCTGTTCAGGCATCAGACAGAACAAAAGTTGCCTAAATAATCACTACCAGGAGACTGAAGAAAATCAGTTTGCCCACGTGAAGCTTTCAGAAGCTATTTCCTACGAGCCCTTTGTTGTTCAGGTGTAACCAGCTGCACACCCAGCTGCTGCACAGGCCTGCTGCACGGCTCTGCGCTCTGCCCAAGCTGCAGCGGTGCTGGCGTTGTGCCCGCTGCAGTCTTACCTGCTGAATTCGGGGGAACTTAAAACAATCATAGAATGCTTAAGGTTGGAAGGGACCTCTAGAGGTCTTCTAGTCCAACCCGCCTGCACACGCAGGGTCACCTAGAGCACCTAGGTCCTCCCCACCAATCCTACATTGACCGTTTCTTTGTATGAACTAAAACTCTACATTTGAAAGTCCTCGTTTCTATTTCACCTCCGTCCCCCTCCATGTTCTGCTAGTCTATGCTAAACCATAAATGATCCGTATAGGAATGATTCTGGTTCCTCATTTTAAACACCCTCAACAACCTGGCATGCATTAAACAAAGAAACAAAAAGCTCAAAACTTAAAGATGCAGTTACTCCTACGGCTGAAATAGACACACCCAGCTTACAGAATTGTAACTGATGGGAGGTCAAACAGCTATTCCTTTTTACAGGTTTGATAACAGCACTTAACTCGCTCAAGTACTTTAAGGCAGATACAAAAAAAACTTCAGGATCACTGTAATCAAGAAGTGTTTAATGATTCTTGTTTTCACATTTAG